GAACCGTCTGAATTGATTCATTGAAGCAATCAACGACCGAATGCCCGAAATGTTTTCAGGCCTTTACATTTTTAGTATCAATTCCGCTTTTCGCTGCACTGCTACGTACAGGTATTCGATATTTTAAACCCCAACCATTCAATTTCTTTTGCAAACCTTGTACATTTACTCCCCTTTACAGCCGCGTTATTGTCATTCAAAACCTGCAGCATTTTCTTCCCTTCCCACCAATGGCGCTCCTTAGACCCCCTTATTGCTATAGGGGTTTCATTCAAATATACACTAACTTCCAGTAAATGCCCTAACAAAGAATCCATCACCCTTTAGAATTCATTAGGCATATCATCTAAGACCATGAATCCGGTCTTGAATATAAACGTGACCGCGATATTGCCCCAAACTAAACTGAAGATGCATTGCCGACTAGTTTCCTCACTCAATGCCATTTGCGAATACGCATATTATAGGTCTATGTTAGAAAAGCATATCGGATCCATAATATTACCACTGATGGCTAATGCTTCATTATCAACAAGTTCATTCTTGTTCGATTGCGGTATATCTGCTTATTAAATAACTGGGAACTTAGAGCCAATTTGACCGGTCCGTCTCTTTTCGCCGTCAAAACCGTGGGTAAGATCAAAATTATCTTAGGTGCACTTGCCTAATTTAACAATGTGCCCATCACGGAGGAACCCATGAATGGTTTTTCCTACCTTTGGCACTCTTTTTTCTCCTTAATTTGAATTGGGTGAATCAGCCCGTAAAAATGTGTTCTAATTTCTCAACGAATTTTTCAACGAATTTTTCTTTGAACTCTTTCAGTATAAGTTTAATGTACTTACGTTGAAATGGGAATTGTTCGCTAATGGGTGTCAGGGTGCTGTCTGTCCCCACCTCGTGCACGTTCCCTGCTACTAGGGCAGGCAGAATATTATTCACAATGATATCCTCTTGGCCTCCCTCCGTTATATAAAGTTCGGCTTTCTTAGCCACCCAACATTCTGAATCAATGTCCATAATATTCCTATGACGTCGTCTGTCGCACTATAGAATATATTCTTGATCTCGTCCGGTACCGCTTTAAAACTTTAAAAACTGATCCCGAATCTTCAGCTCGTGTAGTTTCGTCTGGGAGATACTGGATTGGCACAATCGATCTGAAACTCTGAGCGCCAACGACTATGGCCCATGTCGGTCTCAAATTTTTCTATTCCCCTTGCCTCCCTTGTCCAAGATCGTTTTGATAACAAAAACCCAAAATTCATCGTCATCCTGTTCTTCTATCTTGTTAATAACGTTCGTCTCGAATTGCGTAAACTCATACGAACCATCCACCTGATTAACTGACGATATCTTGCAAAATCTAGCAAAACGCCCTCGACCCCTGCAATTATGTCAGACAAAAATCCTTGCTTTGCAATGATCGCTATGGTTGGGTTCTAACATGCTTCCGCATTTGGGGCATTTGTCTAGCTAGCTCTTGATTATCAACACCATTGACTGGTTTCCATCTGACATAACTTCGCATTTGGCCCTACAGTGTTTGAGCGATTACTGTTGAAAAATTTTTTGGCATATCTTCGTCCACTGACTCTCTTGTATTATTCCTCCACTGACCCTCTTATCCATGAGTTCGCCTCTTTCTCGAACAACAGCAAAAGTAAGTGCCGCCCTCGGGCTCATTGTTTCCATACATAACTGTTTCTTGCTTTCTCATTTTTCATATATAACATGAAAACTTCACGGACCAGCAATGCTTCTCGTTATCCAAAATCACATCAACTGGTAAGGTCGCTCAACACCCCAAAGAATGTCTCCATACCTTCGTTGTCGCGTTGTTTTTGACCGAAGAATATGAATCTTTTGTTTTTTTTTGTAACATTTGTTTCTTTCTGAAACGTATCAGTCGACATTTTTCACAGCTCGATGAAAGCCATATCCACAATTTTACGATATGGATGTTTCTGGTTGAAATATCGCTGTCCCTGTTTCGCCAAGGACAAAAACATTTTTGACGTCAACTGTTTATCAGCGTCTCCCCGAGTCGATCCTTTGAATATTCTACGCTCATCCTCCTCCCGCCTGTTTTTTTTTCTCCCGCCATGCTGTTATAGCCGTCACGTTCCTTGCTTTTTGATCTGTTCATGCCTGCTGATCGTCTGTGCCAGCCGGGTTTTCCAGTATTGGGCAAGGATTTCATGGCAATCCATTATCTTGCATTAAATTCTCAATGTCGATCTCTTATTCTTGCGATGACTATCAGTTGGAAGCTTGACTCCATTCCTCCCACGAGATCGTCGGTTCCTGTGATGGGCCGGCCCAGAAGACGTGTGACCCGCGGTAGGCCGACTCCGTACTTGACGGTCATGGGACGTTACATAATATAAACATACACTTTTATAACCACATAATACGTACATACTTTGAGATCTACACCACACATTGGCCGGATAAACACCTTTATTTTCTATAAAGGATAGTCACGTCACGATCCTCCAGCCAGGTATAGTAAAAAATTTTTCCACATCATCAAGTGTTGACCAATTTTTCTGCCCGCATGCGAGTTTTTTAAAATACAGGCCAAACAACGCGTTTTCAGGCAGGCTCTTTATGGAAAATTATGGAAATAGAAAATGGTTTATTAATAAAAATCGACTGGCTTGAATCAAACTACTCTTTAAAAAATGCAACGGACTTGAAATACCAATATGGTCGCGACTGTCTGGAAATAGCAAAAACTTGTTGGCTAAAATCACAACCTCGGTCCGGCTCTAACCGACAATCGGATGAATTTTAAGTGCCGATGAGAAGATAGATGGATGAAAAGAGATAATGGTTGGAACAACTACTTTTGGTTTTCTCTGATCTCTCTTTTTTTTGAATTTCAAACAAATAAGAAGAAAAAGAAGAAAAAGGGATCTGAGATCTGATTTGAGATCTTTTTTCAAACCGGAGTTTATAATTACAACAGAACTGTTCGTATCAGGACGAAGCCCTCAGTGTCCCGATTGCCTCTCAAGTTCTATGGAGCAGTGTTAGTATCGCGAAATAAATCACGCGTTAATTGTACCAAATTGGCCAAAATGGTAGTCTTTAACCCCCCATAAGTTTACGTAAAATGATCACATGTGAAATAACTTTTCAAATTTACGCTGAGGACAACAATATTTTTGATTTCCAATGTTTATCTCACGCTTGGGGAAATATATTTTGGCAGTCGGTAACTTGAGACTTTTCTAGTAGCTAGCAGAAGCTATCACATACAAAAAAAATCAAAAATGGCAAAAATTGTGTCAGAATCATTGATTTTTCAGATCTGAAACAACCAAAAAAGACTGAATTTCTGATCTGAAACTTGATCTGAATTTTTTTATCGCAGATTTGAAATAACGAAGAAAAAAATTCAGATTTGAAAAAACCAATCCTTAAAGTATCCAAGCGTCCCAGATTGACCCAAAAATGCTAGTCATACAATTTTCATATATGGAAAAAAGCTAATCATACACTTTTCATGCAATTCCAAAAGTACAGGAAATTGCTTGAAATGTCTATGACCAGACATTGATCAAGGCATACAAAAACATGTCCTACCAAAGAAGGAGGAGTTTTAAGCGTTTTTGAAAAAAAATATGGAGAGAAAAGGAAAAAAAATACAATATTAGTATGTCCAGGAATACAAATTTCGCATTCAAATTTAAAAAAAAAATGTTTGTTTGAGTACGAAAATAATTTGCGTTTGAAAAACAACACAAAAACTTTTTTGGGGTTAATTTCAAATTTTTGTCGTTGCCATGAAAAAAGTGCTAGTCATACGTTTTCCATATATGGAAATTGTATGATTAGATTTTTTTTGACAAAAAGTTTTCATTTTTTTAGTACGATACATAGAATTTTATGCCAAAACAAGAAAATGATTGGTATTTTGTATGATTGGTATTTTTTTCATTGACTTAGTTTATTGAATTGTATGAGTAGCATTTTTGGTCTATGTGGTCAACCCGGGGTTATTTAAACATTTCACAACCTATTTCGGATCTGAATTTTAGATCTGAAAAAGGTTATTTCAGATCTGTTTTAGAAAATTTACTGGGTACGGGTGCGCTTTAATAGCGCAAAATACATACAGGAGAATTTTTTTTCAAGCTCAGGACAACAATACTTTTTGGATGATATAAAAAAAAATTCCGTCAAAAATGGCTAGTTAAGAAGTCGAACTTTTTCTGAAGAAAAAAAACCACGAGCACAAATTCGTTAAGAAAGTCGGAAGAACAATAAGTGTAAACACAACATACGCAAAGCTTGAACACTAAGAACTTATATGGGAGCAGGCGAAAAGTAATTTGGATAATGGAATTGCGCTGAATGGTAACGCATTATAGCACCCTTTAACACTTGAGGAAATCTGAAGAAGTTTGCAATTTAACTGAATGTATATTTGAAGTGGATTTAGTGAATTGAATTTATATCCATCCACCATGCTTTTTTCCAAAACCAGAGTGAAAACGTTTCAACGTGAACAAAATGGGAATCTTAGTTTCTTTTGTTGTTTATCTATTAGTAATTCAATTTAATAACATCCTTACTTTTTATTTTTAAGTTATTTGGTGGCATTGTTCATGTTTTTTGTATCAAATTCGACGGTTCTTTTTTGAGTAACAAACATGCAGAATCGCTGATGATGTTGACGATTATGACCAGTCACTGGTCTAGGATTTTCTCTAGGGGGAAGAAGATTCATCAAATAAATCAAAAGGAATCGAGTTTTCGTTATCGATCTTTTCTTTATGCCGACCAAAATGATTTTTCGAGCTCTAATAAAACGCTGCAATAAAGATCCTATTTTGATTAATTTTTCTGAAGAAAAGAAGCCCAAAAAGACGTTTTACGTTTTTTTGAGGATTTTGACCAGCTACCCCAAGCCCCCTTCCCTTAAATCCACCGCAGTCTAAGGCAAAATCCAAAAAAAAATTAATTGCACAATAAAAGGAGGAACTTACCAACGACAGGAAATAAGCACAACAACATGTTTCCATCAACCTATTTGCTATAAACTGAATTAGCACACACAGTTTTTTCTAAATGGAATCTAAATTGTAGAGTTGTTAACCTGTGTCCTTATATAGCTCTATGTTAAATTGTGGCTTGAACTGTAATTGTGCAATAGATTATGCACTCATCTATTTTCCCAACTGATCAGATAAAAGCAGACACCATCCATACTTAATGACACTTTTATTCCCTCGCTCTCTCTGCACACATCGTAGATAACGTGTGAGAGGGGGGGGAGATGAGAACAGGTGTTTTCATCTATCGGCTGTTGTAGATGCGTTTGATTGCTTTTGAAGCATCCGTCGGTTTTTCCTAAGCGGAGCTGTTAAAAACGGTTTCCGTTTAACTGATGATTGGACCAAGTGAACAATCCCCTCCCTTTCTGCAAGCAAGTATGCGATTTTGCCCAGTAAAATTGGAGGTAAAATGATTTAAAATTCAACCATCACACTAAACGCTCAATTGTGATTGGCTACAAAAATGCTTTTACTAACTGAAACTTCCAATCAACTGTAGAATTTGGATTCTGTCCCTTTTTGGTCGTCATTCTCAACTTATTCACGTTGTTTTGATACCTTGTCATTGAGGTTCGACTAAGACTCGTTACTGTCCACAATAATGAGTTACTAGCCAAAACTCGCTACTAGCAAAAAAAAGGGCGAGCACCATTCTGAGCAAAAAACGAGTTTGGCGTCGTAATGGAGAACTCGGATCGAGGCTGTGTTCTTTGACTATACTATTGCGCCCAATTTTCAGTATTTTAAGTCTTTACAGACCAAAACGACCAAGTTTCATTATATTTTCAGTTTTTGCAGAACAAAATATGGTCACCTGAGCCGTGGCAAGCTTAAATTTAAATCCAGCCTAAAACTACTCCAGCTTAAAATGAATTAGACAACCGCTCAGCCTGGACAACTAAGACTTAGCGGTTGTCTAATTCATTTCATCACACCGTGCACAAAAACTAAACAATTTTGAAGAGAATTGTTTGATTTTCTTAAACTATTTTTAAAGTTTTTTCTCTACTACTTGTCGGCATTTTTTTAAAATAGCTTTCTCGGGCAAATCATAAAACTGCATCCGATGATTAATTGCGTTACGCAATTAGGTTTGATGTTCGGCTGCGCGCACACGTAAGCAGCTAGTAATAAATTTGCCACCCATTCCTGTTGCGCGGAGTTTTGAGATCCCTGAAATTTTTGAAAATTTTATACGGTTTAACAGTGAATCGAATGATCACGGGCGAATCATTTTGTGCGGCGACCCCAAAATGCTGAGAATTTTGAAGAAGTCAGCTTTATGGTTAGCCGATGGAACTTTAGCACCCAACTGCCGGCCTAAAACATGTAATTCTTAAGCAGCGTTGATTACTTTTACGTTTTAACAGTTTCTTAAATAGAGATTTCATTTTTCTCAAATTATTGAAATATATAATCTTCAAAGAGTGAAGAAACCCTCCAAACAAAAGATTCTGAATGCACTGCTATTGATCTCCGGTCATGTTGGGTTGGGAGAGGAAGGAGAATTAAAATTTGTTTGATTAAAATATGCAAAACTGTTTATGTTTTTGGACCATCGAAAAGTATATGCTTTAAAGAATGAAGAAATCATCCAAACCAAACATTCTGAATGCACTGCTGTTGATCTCCGGTCATGTTGGTTTGGGAGAGGTAGGAGAAAAAAACTTTGATTGGTTCTAGAATGCAAAACTGGTTATATTTTTAGACCATCGAAAAGTATAACCTTTGAAGAATGAGGAAATCCTCCAACCAAACATTCTGAATGCACTGCTATTGATATCCGGTCAAGTTGGGTTGGGAGAGGTAGGCAAAAATAATTTTGATTGATTCAAGAATGCAGAACTTTATATACTTTTAGACCATCGAAAAGTATAATCTTTAAAGAATGAAGAAATCCTCCAAACCAAATCAATGAAATGGTTATGAAAGTGATCTTCGAAATGAATCACGATTTACCGCTGGCCTTAAAAAAGCTTTCTTTTTTTGAAAAAATAAGAAAAGATCGGCGATTCCTAAGATATGATCTTTCAGGAAAATCAGACAATGTTCAGAACTAAAAAAAAATGGAGAAAACTGACGAGTTGTGACTTTACTTCGGCTCTACTTATATATAAAGCATGGTGCCAAACTGTGAAGTTTTATTCCCAGTGAGATGCGGCCATGAGTGGTATTGCTAGAACAACAAATCTTGTCGAAGAATGGCATTTCGGGATCCAATCCTATTTCGGCGCAGCCCACCCGAGTAAGTGGAAAGTAGTGGGCAGCCTGCAAAAAGACGATACACTAGGTCAACCAAAAATTGATGTCATAAAATAAGACCAAAGGAGGACCCTTTGGTTGCTGAGCGCGTCGAGCTCTGAGGGGGAGCGTTACCCCGCCTTCCCCTAAATCCTATTGTAATTCTAGAAGTCAAAAACAGGTCAAGCGCCTTTTATAAGGAATCAATGTTTGTTTCTCCCATACTCAGATCTCATTACAGAAGGTCACTTAGAGCCTATACCCATCGATGTGAGCTAAATTTCACAATCACCTCATTTATATCTACTTTATTCTATTATATTTCAACTTTTACAAGCAGCTTTTTACATTGTACAATTGATCCATAGATGAGCTGAAAAATACGCAATATATGAGAATTTTGTTGATATTTTATTCAGCGAATTTTATTCGAAGCATCAAAGAGTGGAAAATGCCAAACAATGAGAACTCCAAAAGTGCATGATTACTTTTGAGTAAGCTGAAGCTGCGGTGTTCTAGTGGCTGTTTTTCGATCATGGGAGTTCTTTCAAGTCAATTATATTTAAAAGATGGGTAGATTTGACCCGGAAGGTTGACTTGACTGGTACATGTTTGATAGAAAGTTAGTAAAAGCATAAACTGTGAAACTGTAGAAAATTGAATCGTTTGTTTCGATGTTTCAGTTCAACTCACATACGTAAAATTTGGCTCATAATGATTGTGCGTTTCTTCCGATTGGGTTTTTGGCGTCATCTGGATTTTTTCTCCGGTCGAACAGGTGGCGGCGTAATTGCCCTGCTTTCTTAATTCAGTCAATGTTGCCTCGCTTTCCTGTTGTTCGTTCTGGTTGCCCCCTGTTTCATTGTTGAGGATTTTGTCCAGCTCAACTTGATTGCATAATTTTAACACAAAAAGTGATAACCAACTGACAAACCCAAGTACGAAGCAGATAACTACAGAGCGCTATTACAAGCTATTATAAGCTATTATAAGGTAATAATCTACAGTTTGAAAGAATTCATCCACCGCTTTCTTACACCCTCTTCTGTTCTTCTTCTCCTGATCACTCTCTCCTCAGCTGTCTGGGATGATGTCCAGTTCCGTGGAGTTCGGCCAATCGCAGTGGGAAGTGATGCCGCAGCAGCCGAAACGACCCTGCAGCTGGTCCCAGTTACGGAGTGCCTGGATGTCTGCTCTTTGCAAAGCAGCACTTTTGTCTGATGAAGTAGTTTCAGGGCTTCTCAGGCAAAAACTTAGGTTCCAATTTGAACTGCACTCGCTCGTCGTTTGTGACACAAAGAAACCATAACGAATCAAATGCTACAATCATGAGAAAAAAGTATCCGAGCAGTTTAACAGTTTCATCTAGAAAGCGAGAGAAAGAAAGACGAGACCATACAGCAAGAAACAGCTGACTATTATTCTGGTGTCAGCTACATCCAGCATGTCTTGAACAGCTTTGGCTCTGGGAATCCACAAGCACACTAGGGGACCCACCACGATAAGTGAGAGAAAGACGGCAGTATAAATTGGAACAATGATTCTAGCCAGCCAACGAGTGCACTTGTCTTCTTCGATGCTGCCAGAGCGGAAGAATCTGTAGGTGTTTTCCGCCAGGTGTTGACAGTTCCGTTCCAGTAGATTATACGGCTCATACACTTCGCCTTGCTGTGTTGCTTTGTGCTGCTCACCTTCTGCCCTGAGGAGCACCTTCTCAAAGTAATTCGCGATGTCCAAATTCTGGTACATATCCATTACGGCCACTTTCTTCACTTGATGTGGCCCACTGAGTCCGAAGAAGTTACTGCAGTTGTGGACCATGTTGCGTTCTTGTTCCTTTGGATGAGGATGTAGCCATCTTCCCTCTCTACACTACACTACCAGTTGGTGGTCCGGATCACAACGTAGGAGTGATGCAACAACATCTTGGTCGGCTGCAGAAACGACACTTTGGAATCCAGAGCCACAGACTTGATGATCACATCCAACACCTGTTCATCTAGCCTACTTCCTTCACTACTCTTTGATGCTCTCCCACTGTCCTTTGTACTTTGTGAAGCGTTATCAGCTGAAGTCTGTTGTGCTCTTTCACCAACACATGCATCATGCTGAACCTCGTCCTTCTCAACGACTCTCTTTTTATTTGCAATGCGATCTTCCAGAAACTGTTTCGCATTCTTAGCCAGCACACGCTCTTTTTTATCGCTGAATTCTCCGTTGTCATAAAAACACAGACTAAGGTGGCCCATTTTGAGCGAGAACTCAGAGGTGACAGCATCACCTAAGAAAATAGCGAAGCCAATAAGAAGCCCAATTTATGTTAAGCACGAGAAGCCTATGACGGCCCTTCTCCACGTTTTGATGTGATGCTTCACTTTTGACATGCATCCGAAACTATTCTTTTTTTTCCGTCTCATTCTTCCTACAACTGGCGGGCAGACTTTGGAGGGAGTTTTCGTTGCTCGAGATCCAGTCTTGATAGTCGCGGATTCCACAGCAGTCGAAGCTCTGCTGCACATTATCCCACTGTTTGCGAGGACTCAAATTGCTTCCTTTGATCCTCTTGGTGATTTTGTTTCGCAAGGGGTGCCTGGATAGATAGGTCTGGTTGGCAGTCCTAGCCACAACCAGTTTGGTCTCCATCTCGTATTCCATCAGTTTCGAGTCTATGATGTGATAGTGCCACAAGTACATCAGAACAGCAGTCACTAATGCAATGTGTACAAGCAGAGTCAGAACGGAGAAAGAAAAGGATTTATTCAGTCTAGGTTCGAACTCGCCGAGTCTTGCAAGGCAGGAAACAAAAACAGGAAGAGAAGAGACACAAATGAGAATACCACACAGTGTCAAGAGGATGTGAACTTCGCCGGCGTCTATAATCGCCACGGCATGCTTCAAATCGCTCAGCCAGACAGCCAGAATAAAGACAAAGACACAGAGAAGTATCAGGGCAATCGGAACGCAGACAAAACTAGTCTTAGACCACGCACTAGAAGACCATTTTTTGAACGTGTCATGTGCAAAAAATTGTACGAAACCTCGGCCAAGTTTGCCCAATTGTGCAGCACTTTTTCTTTCTGCTTATTTGCTGCTTCGATATCATCTGTTGTGGAGCGGGGTAGCAGTCGCTCGAAGTACTGGTCCATCCCAATGCGTCTCTCCCCCATGTCACTCTTGGACACTCTTTTCTCTCTTCTCTTCCCACATACGACATTGGGTTGATTGCATCAATACAGTCCAAAAAATACGCTCTGAAAAAATGGCGCATACTACATTTGGGCTTTACTTTTTTTCCACAAACGGAGAAAATATAGTTCCCACCATTTCAAAAAGTTTGATTTGGTTCCTATTGAAGATTCTATGCACGAATTCTGTTGGTTTCTATTTGATGCGTTTTGAAGAGTGGTGTTGAAATGGTGGGAAGTCTGAAGCTAACTGTGATGCAACAAAACCACGACCAACAAAAAACGACAAATAAAATGTAATTCTTAACCAGCGTTGATTAGTTTTACCTTTTAACAGTTTCTTAAAGAGAGATTTCGTTTTCTCAAATTATTGAAAAAAATAATCTTAAAAGAGTGAAGAAATCCTCCAAACCAAACATTCTGAATGCACCAATGTTGATCTCCGGTCATGTTGGGTTGGGAGAGGTAGGAGAATCAAATTTTGATTGATTCAAGAATGCAAAACTGTATATACTTTTAGACCATCGAAAATTGTAGCACAGGTACGTTTTGAACCAGCATTCATATGATTGCTGGGTTCTAGCACGACCAGAGTGCCACCATACCGCATGTAACTCATGTTAGCACAATACTTGTACGACTCCAACAAATTTAATGTTTGTGCGTATGCAAATGAATGGCATGAGCTAATGGTTTTAGTTGGGTCAAATAGGCTGAATTTTAGTTTGGATGGAAAAGGGGTAAGAGGGCAAAACATCGAAGAAATTGTAATTCGGTAACTATACTTTTCCTGAGAATTTTTAATTCAATTAGATGGTTAGAACTAAGCACGTGAAAAATTTTTGACGAATTTGAAACTATTTTCACTTTGAGTTGAAACTGGCGTTACTGAAACTTTCTAATGGACTGAAAAAATGCTTGTGTTTTTGTAAAAAGCTTTGTACTGTTTCATAAAAAATTCAATGGAAATCCTTAAGAGCAAAGTTAGGTAACGAGCAACAAATAGCCATACAGCAAGTCTTGCATAAATCCTTAAGTGTGCTGTTTCTACGCACTTTAATGACAGTAGCCTGTTGGAATGGAAAGACAAAACGTCAGCTTTATGTTTGCATCCTTGTGGTTTACACCAACCCCTAGAGGGATGGGAAAAGATTTAACACGTTTGTAGGCTTTATGCATAGCATAGACAGTTTGTACGGGGTCAGGTAGAGTATCAGGTTTTGCTGTGCAAAATAGATTGGAAAAGTGTCGCAGTGTCGACTTATCCGAAGTCTTCAATCTGCAGACTGTTTCACACTGTGTTCACAGAACTTCTAATCTAACATTTCTGTAACAATTACATCATTTTAGCTCTTATTAATCGATTTCTTATAGCTTTTTAAAAACTTTGAACTCGATCGAGTTAAAATCTGAGTTCGAATTTCAATTAATTTCTACTGTCAATGTGTTCTGGTAATATGAGTTACGAAAAGGGTGATATGCAATTAGTAATCAATTCAACACAAATAGTCTACGATAGTGCTTTCAAAACACTTCACACGTGGATTTCATCTTCATTCACATTCGCGTTCACATTTGCAGATTTCGCTGATGCCGCTCCTCTCGCCGGAGGGGGTCGAGGGGGAGGAGGTGCGGAATCGGCATTCGGGTCCGGGCTGTCTATTCGGGGGGAACCGGTTTCAAGTCCCTCTCGTGGTGAGAAGCGACCCCCTCTCCCGTCAGTGCTAGCGGAGGGCGGTTCAGGTCTGTTGGGGGGAGAGGGAAGGATTTCGATGTCGTTCTCCGACCCCCTTTCCGGATTGAAGTGTTCGTCGCTGGTGATGTGGATCTTGCGGCTGTCTCGGAATGAGGGGTCCACTGCTGTGCCGGACACTGGCGATCCCCCAGCCTGGCTGGCCGACTTGTCCGATATGTTGTCCAAGTATCTGTGGCCCTCCCGTGTGCCTAATCAAACGCGGAATCATTCGTGACATAACAACAGAAACAAAAAATCGAAGGCCATGTAGTCGATGAGCCCCCATTGGAGGGCTAAGAATTAGAATGAATTATGTCTCGAATAAACGACGATGCACTCAAAGATTTTCCACTGTTTCATAGATTCGTCTTCAAACACTATCAATGACAGGAGAAAAAGTGGCGATGTCGCCACCTAGAAACCAACGCCTTACGTTTATGCTCATATGAATTCAACTATACAAAAATGATCAAAAAAATGAACCAAAATTTTGCATTGCCAAAGTAGACTAATGAAGAGAGTATTCTACAAAAACCATCTCTGTATAATAGTATTGAGGAGGATGGAATGAATGAGTGGATACCTTGCAAAGGGTACTCCTCGAATGTCTCACTCTGGCCCTGTCTACACACAAGCACCACATACATGATGAGGGCGACGAGGACTGAGGCTGCAAAGGAACCACTCACAATCAACGCAATCTCCCAGCTCTCGAAGTCATTCTCGATCCTGTCGCGGATGTCCTCGAACTCCCTGCCGACGATGGTGCCTCGGATGCCTCTGATGAAGCCACCTCTGCAGGTCAGCCCAATGAAGGTCACTTTGCCCTCTATCGCCTCGATTGTCTCCTGACAATCAACAAACAGCTTCCTTCTAATTCAATGGAAAATGGAAAAGGAACGGATTCTATAAAACGTAAATATTGTTCAAACTCCCAAAATAGATTTTATTTAGTAGTTTCGACTCAAATATTTATTTGCCTTGCTCGAACTTTCAGGGTTTATCAAAATCAATTCGGTCATATGTCAAAGCGGTGCCGTTGGCAGAAATTGAGGTGGCCTGTGAATTAAGGAGGATGGGACTGTTCATTAGAGATAATAAGCTGTAGGTGTGTTTCATGGAGACAGCAATAAGCCTCTGCTTCTCACTTTGAGGTCTTCGTCGCAGTACCAGGGGTTGCCATCAACCATGACCATCATGTTGTTGAACTGTGCCCTCCAGAAGGCTCTCTCGTCTATCTCACTCAACAAGTTGTCCACCAGATTGACTGTCTTCAGATTAGGCATGCCTGCAAATGTCTCCGCCTCAATGTAGCTGATCCTGTTCCCGCTCAACACTATCTCCTCCAATTGCTAAACAAACACACACTCGCAGATAACAGTAGAATGCACTTTCACTCCAAATTCTAATAACAGAACCGGCATCAGTTAAAGAGTTTACTCAATCTTATTTCAAGTATACTCAAATTTTCATATTCAAACGTGGCTGGCATCTTTTGCGATCTCCGTTCCAAATTTTTTGCGATCTCCGTTCCAAATTTTGAACAATGTGATGGAATCTTTGTTCTCAGTGTGAGTATTCTTGCTGCGATTTTCGAAGAAAAATACGGAACAGTTGTGCTCGGGTGGTTTTTCTCCAGGCAAATTTCGAAAACGTATCTAGTTTTTGGTGACGACAAGATTTTTAAATCATGTGAAATTGATTGATGTCTTGAGCTCAAGTTTAAACAGACGCTTTAATTTTGATCGGTTTTTACAAAGTTACTAGTCGTTCATAACTGCCGGTCGTTCTGGAACATTAAACACGCGACACAGTTCGAACTATCAACGCGTAAACGGCGATTTAATCTGCTCAGATAGAGTGCTGATTTAAATTAACCGGACTCTGGTACGGCGTAGTTTAGAGATCATTATGTTATTACTCTTGTGCTAGCTATCTGTGCTAAACTCGCCTTTGTCTATCAAGGTCGTGACCGACCTGCCAATCCGTTCTAGTTTTAACACATAAGTTCTCATTCATTCTTCTGCAACTTATGAAAGATTTGAGTTGTATTTATTTCATTGTCATGACATAATCTAAATACTAAACTATCTATATTATTTACATTACTATAAACATAAACAAGGAGAATTGATTCTTGTTTTACGACTGTCTTTTATCATTCCACATGGCGCAGCCAGCAGTTTCGACCTCAGAGGATCGAACTGACCTGTTGGGCGTATCCGTATTTTGGCATAAACCAACTGCGGACCCACCCTGTAGCTGGGATTCGTGGATAGGTCAATTCAATTTGGCAATCACTCTGAGAGAGAGATGTGATCCACGAGAATTATTAAAACCGCCGGGTGTCGTACACGATGATCCTGCTCCAAAACCAGAAGTCGTGGGGGTGGATGAAGATGCTGCAGCAATCGCAAATCGTATTGCACGAAATGACGCGGCGGTCCGCAGAGTCACGGAAATGAATGAAGAGCGCCGGGCGAAAGGTCCCAGAGTTGCACCAGGAGTGTATTATTACGAGGTTGAACAACGTGTTAAATCTCGTTTATTTTTCTCGCTCGGCTCAGAAGGGAGGAAAAGATTCCTCCAAAGTTATCCACATGCGGATCTGAGCGCATTATCATTTCGGGATTTCCACGAATTTTGTGTTCTCTTGTTCAGAAAGGAGAAAAATTTCATCATCGAACGTATGCAAATATACAACGCAGTACATTCAGACCGAGAAAGTTTGGAAGCATTTTATTTGCGTTTGACGGGACAAGCCGCCCTACGTGGGTGGACAATTGATCAAGAAAAAGAAGTCGTAAGAGATATCTTCATTGCCAAAATGAGATATAAGGATATTCAGAGAGAATTGTGTATTCATCCAGGTGCTACTCCGGAGGATTCTCTGAAATCAGCGTTACTCCAAGAAAAAGGAGCACAAACGGCCACCGATTTGCAATGGCAACTTGGGAGTTCGTCGACGACGGGCAATTCCTCCCAGGCAGGTGCCATTTTAGGTCAGAATTCCCGGATAAAACAAGAACCTACCTTCTCTGCCCAGAGTAAGAAATTTTCTGACAGGATTAGTCGGGCACAGAATAGTAAACAAAAGGGGTTCAACGAGAAATCGAAGTCGTGTTATTTCTGTGGCAACAGGTTTTCAGCAAACCACAAGCAGAGTTGTCCAGCCCGAAATGTAACTTGCAGGAACTGTAACAAAAAGGGCCACTTTGCCAAGTGCTGCAATTCTAAGAATGTAGCGAACGTAGAAGCTGAATCAGATGAGACAGTAGAAGAAAATTGCAACTTCATCACGTCCGATAGTGAGTCGGAATTGGCTGTTTTATCTGTAGCAGCAGGGAAACCAAGTCTTCTAATTAAGTCAGTGAAAAAATTGGAGGTGGTCAATGCCGCCACGGGCAAGTTACGTTCCATACAGATAACTCTACGTTGTGGCAAGACGTTTTTCAAGGCAACAGTGGATACTGGGAGCCCAGCTTCTTTCGTGAATAAGAAGACAGCAGACTATATATTGAAAACTGTTCCTTCAGCCAAGATCTTCACGGTTCAAGAAAGTCCAATCGATACAGTCTATGTTGACTATAATAGGAAGAAAATTCAATTGATGAATACGTTAATTATGGATGTATCATCTTTGGGATGGCATATCAAGTCTGCAAAATTCCTTATTTCAGAAAATCGTACAAGCTGTTTACTTGGTTTAGATTTGCAACCCCATTTGGGAGTAAGAACAACGCAAGTTAGACCAGATCGTCCTTTGGTGGGAGAAGTCTCCCAATCAAACCTGAATTTAACGTCGGATTCCTGGAAAACTCACTTCCAACTGAAATTTCATCGTGTATTCCATAGAGTAGGCAAAGCCAAAAACCATAAAGTATTCTCTACATTCAAGTCCCCACTCGTTCCAATTCAAGAAAAGGGAAGGAGAGTACCGGTGCATATTCAAGATAAAGTTGGTCAAGAAATTCAAAAACTAATTCATGAAGGACACGTGGTTAAACTGAATAAATGTACCAGTGAGCATTTCATCTCTCCGATCGTTATTACGGCTAAGAAAGATGGTTCTGTGAAATTAGCTATGGATGCTAAACCTATGAATGATCAAATTCATAAGAACCATTACCAAATGCCGAATTTGTTGGAACTGTTGGACTCGGCCGCCCAGATAATAACATCGGACACTTCGGGAGATGTTTGGTTTACGTCCTTAGATTTAAAATACGCATTCAGTCAGATTCCGCTCAGTGAGGAAGTTAGCCGTCATTGCAATTTTAATATCGTCTGTGGAGAACAAACTGGTACGTATCGGTTCAAAACGGGATTTTATGGACTCACGGACATGCCAAAGGAATTCCAAAAAGCGATGGATAATACCCTCCAGGGTTTGTCAGGAGTATTTTGTTTCCTGGACGATATTCTGATTGTCTCGAAGGGTTCAGTCGAAGATCACAACATTCTTGTAGATAAGGTGATAAGTCGTCTGGATGAAGAAGGTTTTGCTCTGAAACTTTCGAAATGCGACTTTTCTTTGAATCAATTATCTTGGTTAGGATATCATATTGATTCAGAAGGATACAGACCGAAACGTTCTAAGATAGAGGCAGTTCTAGCTCTGGAACCTCCAAGGACGCTTAAGCAACTCCGTTCGTTCATGGGCATACTCAACCATCTACAACGATTTTTGCCGAATATTCAGGTCCATTCAGACCAATTACGCCCATCCTTGAAAGCAAGTAAAAAAAGTAAATTCGTGTGGGGGGAATGCCAGCAGACCGCGTTCAGTAACATTTTACAAATGATAGCGAATATCACAAAGATGTACCATTATGACCAAAGTCGGAACTCGCGGGTGAAATGCGACGCTAGTCATAGTGGTCTGGGTGCTGCATTAGAACAAGAGATCAAAGAGGATGTTTGGGTCCCAATTGCTTTTGCGTCACGCTTTCTAAATGATCAGGAGAAGAAATACAGCACTAATGAATTAGAACTTCTAGCAATTGTGTGGTCGTGTGAGCATTTTCGGACTTATTTGCTGGGAAATCATTTTGTAATTTTAACTGACCACAAAGCAATTATATCCGCGCTAAAGACTAACCGAGGTAATAAAACTCATCAGTCGCGCTTAACCAGATGGGCTGATAGGTTGTTACCTTTCGATTTTTATATCTTTCATATCTCCGGTGGTAAATTAGGAATAGTGGATTATTTATCCCGTTATCCAACATTTGAAGCACCGCGACCGAGTAATTTTGACGAACAATATGTGGTCAAATGTATTAACCGATTCTTTGATGCATGCGATTTCTTGGACAAGTGGGCCAAATATCATTCCCTATCTAAAGAAGTACCTGATATCACGAAAATCAGCAAAAATTCTGTTGTATCCGATAATATTAATCTAATAGAGTCATTGGATATCAGTCAGTCTCGGGTTACTTGTTCCGAGTTAGACAATTTAATTGTCGCATCTAACAAGTTTGGAACTCTATCGGTAGAGGGCGCCCTAATTCAAAACAATCCATCTACTTCGCACAGAGTAAAATCGATAGAGGGCGACAAAATTTTAGCCAGTAAACAAATTGAATTATCTCATCAATTCAATAAATCAGTCCTCTCTCCGCTAGAGGGCGTCCAAATTGTTGGTTCAAATTCTGGCCAATCAGCGTTGAGGAAATTCATGTCGACTTTTGTCACTTTCTCAGCATGGTTTACATTATATCTGCCAGTTCTATTTTCCTTGTGGTTTATTACTTTGGTCGTTAGTAATGTTGATCTGTTGTCGCCGTTAACACAATTTTTCGCCTCGGTTTTATTGTATTGGATTTGTTGGAACGCAACCGGTTTATTGGGTGCTTTTTTTTCAGACTGCGATGAACCCCAATACTAGTGCCAACAACACGAATGACAGCTTCGAGCAGTTGTTAAACCAATATCTGCCAGTACATCAACATTGGTTTTCTTCGGATAGAGCTAGGCCGCGGTATCGCTCGGGGGCTGTACGACCCAGAAGGTCGTCAACTGTTCAACGAGGAGTAGAATTAAAGAGCCAATATGCCCGTATTTTAGCAAATTTCAGAACCAAAAGGGCCAGGAAAACTACGATAGCAAAACAGCAAAATCAATCAGTTCATAGTTTAGAAATCCTAAAGGCACCAGTGGTCGCAAAGGACCAGAAATCGATAACCGGGTTGGTGGGCATTCTGGATTCCGATGTATTATCGGAACTCATGGACGAAGATGCCAGTCTATACCTCATGAAACGGGCAATAGTTAATCGGGACTACGAAGGATTTTGCCGTATTGATCCCTATATCAAATCCTTTTGGCATTGTGCAGCGGTGGTTGATGGCTGTGTTGTTGTGGATAATAGGATCGCGATACCCATGTTTTTACGAAAACCCTTACTGTCTCGACTCCATCGGTCGCATGCGGGTCAGTTAGCCATGGTTGACGCGGCGCAATACATCTGGTGGCCCCGAATGCATCGTGATATCGTCCAACTTTGCAAAAACTGTCCCCAGTGTACAAAGTTTGGTAAGAATTTGAAAGCGAATGCTTCATTTAACTCTTCCAAGCCTTTACCCCTTTTATCTGGTCCTAATGAAGAGCTGCAGCTCGATTATGCAGGCCCCCTACTTGATTCGTTTGGTAACAGTATTTATATCTTGGTCGCGATCGACCGTTATTCAAAATATCCGTCGGCTATGATCACGCGTTCCACAGCAGGACGGAAGATTATTGAATTTCTTAGATCGTATATACAACAACATAGTATACCCAAATCTATCAAAACAGACCAGTACTCTGGTTTTAAGAACAAATTAGTGCAACAATTTTGTCTAGATAAAAATATTGCTCAACATTTTTGTCCTGTGGGGGACCATCGTGGTTTCGGTTTAGTAGAAAGGTCAATCCAAACAATTAAACGTCGGTTGGGCGCCTCACGACTGAGTTCGGATTTTTCAAATGTCCAAGATACTCTTCGGAATATTATTGAAGACATCCGAATTACAAAAAATTCTGTTACTGGGGTTTCACCTTTTGAACTTCATTTTGGCCGTCCCCCGAATACGGAGCTATCCATTGCGGCTGAGCGTTTATCTTCGGGAGTTCATTTAGATAACCAAAAGTTGGAACGGGACTTATTAACACCTGAACAGCGTCGGGAGCAGTGTGACAGCCGACCTAGAATCAAAGTGGTAAGGAAAGGGTAGTCAAGCCCAACGGTGTCTCCACATTTTGGTGGAACTACTGATTCAGTTGCAGATACACCCCACTACCGTGCACTGGAGAGCTTGGCACACTCAGCCAATCAGTGGCTAACTTTGAAAAGGTCATTATCGCATCAGGAGGGAGTCAAAGCACTGAAGACCTTGACGGAAAGAAACCAAGTCCTCGCAGCCACTCTTCGATCAAATTTGTCGGCCGGTACCCTCAGATTCAGGAACCAAATGCAAATGGATCAGATTCGCCCGTCGGTGACAAAACGTAATTTGGATTACTTAGTATTGAATGAGCCAAACAAAGTCGAAATATTTAGAAAATTTCTCAATAGGAAGTCCGGCAAAGAACTTTTCAAACCTTTTAAGGGCACAATCGTGCGGGTTACTGGGTCTACATATATTACCGATAAAGGAAAGGTGATTAGAAGAAATCATTTGGCAGTACGCCTTAAGTCAATAAATCTAAGTTTTTCAGGAAAACAACAAACTCCGGTCAAGAAGGGTCAGAAACGCCCGATTGTGTCATCGTCACCATCATCATCTGAAGATAACAGGCCACTCAAACAGTCAAGTTCCCGCCAGTGTATCACAGCGAAAACAGTACACGTGCCCAATCATTCAAAATTTCCATCTTTGACGAGCTCACATACCCCTCCGCGTGGCCAAATGGTGCTACCAGGGTCGACTAGGCCAAGAGAAGTGGCAATCTCTGAGGCTCCAGGTGTGCGGAATATTCCTTTCCCACAACACTCTACCCCAGTGGTAGACTTAACCGCTTCCTCTTCTACGTCTGGCAATCAAGGTACGGAAGTTCCTATCAGCATCATACCAAAATCGCCAACTCCAGCAAAGATTCCAGTTCCAGTATGTACAGATCTTATCCCTATCTCCTCTGACGATGAATCGTCAATTCAGAAATCCCAAGAAGGAATTCAACCAACTCCGGCAGCATCGGGTCTTCTCTCCCAAGATGGTCCCGTCATCCTGACCGAACCGGATGAAAATGTATCCTCCTCATCAAATTCGTCGCGGGCCTCCTCACGACGGAAAAAGCAGACTACGTTTTATGGTAGTCCCATCCGACATTCCGTGAATGTCATTGACTCTCAGTCAGTATCCACACCTCCGTCAACACCTGCTTCGCCGGACAAGAAGGTCGGTTTTGTAGAGGCTACTTCAGATCGTTCCTATCAAGCAGGGCAGTCTCGGGCAGTTCCTCCCGATAACTCAGGGATTTTGTATAGGAGATTCACTCGTTTTCCCACAAAAAAGCGCCACTCCGACCACCCTATGCGTCGGGCCGACAAATAAATTGATGATGCTTCAGCCCAGATAAACTTTAAAACTTTCTCTAGCATATCTACAATGTCACATCAGTCAAAACTTTTAAAACTTCCAGGGTTACCTGTTACATTAACCATTGTTCTCGTATGTAAGAATTATATTTAATTTTCTTTGTTATAGTAAAGAAATTCGAACGTTGTTCGAATTTTACCGAGAGGGGGAAATGTGGTACGGCGTAGTTTAGAGATCATTATGTTATTACTCTTGTGCTAGCTATCTGTGCTAAACTCGCCTTTGTCTATCAAGGTCGTGACCGACCTGCCAATCCGTTCTAGTTTTAACACATAAGTTCTCATTCATTCTTCTGCAAATTATGAAAGATTTGAGTTGTATTTATTTCATTGTCATGACATAATCTAAATACTAAACTATCTATATTATTTACATTACTATAAACATAAACAAGGAGAATTGATTCTTGTTTTACAACTGTCTTTTATCATTCCACACGGACACAACGCACAAAGTATGAACATTCAAACGCTGTTTTTTTTTTTCAAATCGAGTCAATATTGGACAAAAAAATGAAGAGAACAAAATTGGTTTGACTTTCATCAGGAATAACCAGCTTTTTATTTCATAGCATAAAAGTTACGCTGAAACTACCAAGTTGAGGAGTAAATAATTGGTATCAAAAAATTTTCAAGCACAGCCCAACAAAATTCTAGAAGGGTAAGTTTTCCAAAAATCTGTAAAAGAAAAAATATTTAGAGTTAAAAGCCAAAAAGGTCATTTTTATTAGATAAAAATCAAAATGTTCGCCTAAAAGCAAATTTCAAACAGTTTGCGCAAGTTTTTAGAAAATTAATCCTCGTTGGGCGGTGTAGAAGGCTTCTTTCAATATAACTTTTTATCAATTAACTCAATAGTTTTAGCGTAACTTTTGATTACTTAAAAAAAATAAAATTATCCTTCTTTGAGATAAAGTTTTGGCTGCAAACTTTTAAAAAACAATTCATCGTTTTAGTTTTGGTGAAACTTCAAGCAGTTTTTGATCTCCTCATTTTTTGTCTAATCCTAGGCCAACTTGAGAAAAACGCGTTTAAATTTTCAATTTTAGTTCATTTTTCCGGATAATTCAAGTCAGCACTGTATCGTTCCAAATAAAACTGAGGCTGGCTAATTGTTCAATTTAATAATTTGCCACATGCTAATTATGTCGCTCTGTTTTTTAAATTATGTGTGGGAAAATCATTTTCCAAAAAAAATCAAATGTATATTTTCAAAGTTTTGTAAAATTGATCACTGCTCTATAGACGTCAAGGGACAGTCGGGACAGCAGTCTCGTTTTTTTTAAATATCAGTTTTATATTTTCAGCAAAATATGAAAAATGCAATTTTTGATATCTTTCGATATAGACGCGCTAAACTGAAATTCAAGGTGGCGTAAAAGGCAATTGAACCGAGTTTTTTATTAACGAAAAATAAGTATCAAAACAATTGGGTTAGGTGGTAAAAAACAGTCGGAACAGTCAAGGGTTTGACCTAATTTTAACAGTTTTATTTCAATTCACTGTCTAATTATTCAAGTTTTTAATGTTGCGTGTTTGGATTGATTTTTCGATGGTGTGAGCTGAGGGAAAACTGATAATTATTAAGCCTCTTTACTTTACAAAACAGAGCTGCAGATGGAATACAATTTTAATTTCGAGCTCAAATCATCAATATAACTTAGATGGTATGAAAAATTCTCTCAA